CTGGGCCGGGCCCGGCGAGGCGGCAGCCGAGGCGTTTGGGCCGCGGCCAGCGCTCGTCTCAGTCGCTCCCCGGCCTTCAGCACCTGCTGTTTGCTTCCTTGCCTTGCAGCTGCTGCGTAGAGCATGTGCTCCCACCCATACGTCTGCCCCGATTCCTGCCCTTTTTGCTAGAAAACACATAAACGTTGTACTTTCTTGTTTACGGACCCGAAACACTGGTCTGTCACCCCTGGGCTCTTCTTCTCCCAGCTCTGTGCCCCGCGCGTCTCTCTCCTTGTGATCCATCCTGGGCAGCATCGCATAGAACAGACTTTGTAACATCACTTTTCACTTGAAACTCTTGTTTACGGGTCTTTCGTTATCAAAGCTACGCCATTCAGACTTGTTTTCAAGTCTGTGTGTCACCAGTCCTGCCTGTTCACGTGTCCTTTTACTCTTCTTTCATTCTCCTCAGTTTCTTTGCTTTGACTTTGTATCCTCTTTTCTGCTGTCAGTTACCCACAAACAACTGCGTTCTGCTTGTTGCTGGATACACTCTCTTTGCACTCTCTTCAAGCTTTTTTTTCCCGACAGTTATATTTTGCATCTCTGAGGTCTTTGGGTGCCCTTTTTTATACCGTTTTTGCAGTACCTGAATTTTCTCCAGCGCTCTCCTCGTGCTCACGCTTACATCTGAGTATTTTTAAAGTCAGTTCCTCAGGCTGTATTCTTCAGGGCAGAGATCATTTCATAGCTGAAAAACTCAGTCGTCCAAAGGTTTCTTAATGCGTTTAATGCTGCCCACTCTGAGGAGTGTGGTGGGACCGATCCCCTGATTACCCGGAGCGCACATGACGGGCTCCAGTGGCCGCTCTCGCCGAGCCGTCCGCACAGGCTGGGCTGGCAGTGCACCATACAGGCTACCCTCGCCACTGCTGAATCCAATGGGCCCTGTGGCATCGGAAATACTATTGACCTGGCTAACTCATCCTGGGTTTTGACGCCTTTTCAATAGGCTCTTCTCTGGAATATCCTGAATAAACTATTCCCTTTGATTTTGTTGCTATAAGACTGTTAATACTAAACATATTAATCAATACAGAAGGATAGACTAAGGCTCAATGATAGAGTAATGGAGATAATAGTAAAGCCAAGGTTTTTTCTTTTCCCAGTATATTTGATTTGCGCTGATCTCTTCACTACACCAGAGATGAATATTACTGTGTAATTGAGTTGCTTGGCATTGACACTTCTGTGGACTTTTGTAACTAGCGAGACCGTGTGATAAGCCTAAAATAACTCCATCTAGTGGTGGTAAAAGGTCACAAGAGGGTAAGGTGCTGCTGAAGAGCAATCCCTGCCTCTTAACAGAACTGAAACATTTGACTGTAATGCCACAGCTGCAAATTAAAGAGAAAAATTAAACAACTATAAAAGGGGAGAACTGCAGAAATTTGGTCCAACATATCTGGAAAATTTGGACAGTGAAACGGTTTGCTCAGAGAAAAATGAGAAAATGCCCATATGTACTCTCTCTGAACAGTCAAATCCAGTATCTAGTTCAGAAGGGAAGGAACAAGCCAAACCCAAAGACAGAGTTGGAGGGAAGGCATCAGGAGGAGAGCGAGTTCATTCTGAACTG